TACTACTAATTTTTTAAAGCTCAGCTGTAAGATTTTGACTCCATTCTTTCAAATAGACTCACCTAACTGAATATTGTATGCCTCACTGAGTGAATTTCAACCAATACCCTGTCCTTCTCAGAAGGTTAACCACAGGAAAGGGAATATCTAATTTTTATTTATTTATTCATTTTTGAGACGGAGTTTCACTTTTTGCCCAGGCCAGAGTGCAATGGTGTGGGCTTGGCTCGCTGCAACCTCCACCTCCAAGGTTCAAGTGATTCTCCTGCCTCAGCCTCCCGAGCAGTTGGGATTATAGGTGGCCGCCACCACGCCTGGCTAATTTTGTACTTTAATTAGAGATAGGATTTCACCATATTGGCCAGGCTGGTCGCAAACTCCTGCCCTCAGGTGATCCGCCCACCTCAGTCTACCAAAGTGCTGGGATGACAGACGTGACCCACCGTGCCTGGCCACATCTAACATTTTAGACTGCTCGCCATAGAGAGGGCACCGGTTTGCTTTCTATGAAAGAAGAGAACACCTTTGTAGAAAGTGTCTTTCAAGAAAGCGCCTGGGCCTTGGGAGTTTAATTCTCATGATGGTGAGGAAATCACGAAAACTCTGAGCCTCAGAGCTTCACACTCTGAGGAAAATGGAGATTTCACACCCACCTTTCAGGGTGTTGGCGGCCCTGCCAGGGTCGTGTGTTCAGTGCTCAGCCCACTGAAGTCACCCAACACGTGTGAATTCATTTCTCTCACTTCCTTTTTATTTCCCATTTATTCCTAAAATCACAAATATCAATTTTTGGTTGGGGATTATTTTAGTGCAATTATGTTTTTAAAATATATTTTAGTATTTTCTTTGTAAACATTCTCAAGTTAGCAGAAATTTTTTTTTTTTTTTTTTGAGACGGAGTCTCGCTCTGTCGCCCAGGCTGGAGTGCAGTGGCGCAATCTCGGCTCACTGCAAGCTCCGCCTCCCGGGTTCACGCCATTCTCCTACCTCAGCCTCCCGAGTAGCTGGGACTACAGGCGCCCGCCACTGCGCCCGGCTAATTTTTTTCTATTTTTTAGTAGAGACGGGGTTTCACCGTGGTCTCGATCTCCTGACCTTGTGATCCGCCCGCCTCGGCCTCCCAAAGTGCTGGGATTACAGGCGTGAGCCACCGCGCCCGGCGAGAAAATTTTTTTGAGACGGAGTTTTGCTCTTGTTGCCCAGGCTAGAATGCAATGGTGTGATCTCAGCTCACTGTAACCTCCGCCTCCCGGGTTCAAGCGATTCTCCTGCCTCAGCCTCCCGAGTAGCTGGTATTACAGGCATACGCCACCACACTCGGCTAATTTTGTATTTTTAGTACAGACAGAATTTCTCCATGTTGATCAGGTTGGTTTCGAACGCCCAACCTCAGGTGATCTATCTGCCTCAGCTTCCCAAAGTGCTGGGATTACAGGTGTTAGCCACTGCGTCTGGCCCAGATTGCAATTTTTATTGAAATGTGTCAGTACCCAAATTGTCTATATAGGCATGGAGCTTCATAGCTGCTTGGTGGCCAGGTATTGCCTTATTTAGCCCTCACGATGGACCCACGATGGTGGAGAGTTCACCTCATTTCCATCTGTGATGTTAGGATGTCCATCAGGGGCTTGGAAGCTTCACCTCTAGGACCACCCAGCTGGGAACCAGGTTCACATTCTTCAAGCTCAGCGTTCCTGCCAACATGATACTTAACCTGTCTGGGGCTTATGCACATAACATAGCACTTCCACATGTATCTACTTTTATGCTTTATTTTAATTGTTTTTGAGACAGGGTCTGACTCTGTCGCCCCGGCTGGTGTGCAGTGGTGTGATCTTGGCTCACTGCAACCTCGACCTCCCGGGTTCAAGCAATTCTCATGCCCCAGCCTCCTGAGTAGCTGGGACTATAGGCATACATCACCACACCTGGCTAATTTTTGTATTCTTAGTAGAGACAGGGTTTCGCCATGTTGCCCAGGCTGGTCTTGAACTCCTGGCCTGAAACAATCCACCTGCCTCGGCCTCCCAAAGTGCTAAGATTATAGGCGTGAGCCACCACACCCGGCTTACGCTGGGTTTTATTTTATTTTTTGAGACCGGGTCTTGCTCTGTCGCCCAGGCTGGAGTGCAGTGGCATCATCACGGCTCACTGCAACCTTGACTCCTGGACTCAAGGGATCCTCCTGCCTCAGCCTCCCAAGTAGCTAGGATTACAGCCGTGGACTTTTACACTTTATCTGATACTTCCCTAGACATGTCTTCAGACCACAAAAACCCGCTGTCACTTCCCCAAGACGATTTATGACAATGTGCTACTGACAAGCAATCCCCTAATGCTTCTGGACATAGGAGTAGATTTATAAGCCCTGGGATGCTGAGAGTGGTTCTGCCTGGGGACAGTTCTGCCTTCTCAGCTGGGCTCACCTGTATATCGGAATCCGTGGATGAAGCCCCCAGCAGATTTCCGGTAGTCCACTGAGTGGCTGGCGGTACCCAGGATAAACAGACCCCGGCTTCCTTTGGATTCGTAGCTAGCTCGAATTAGCGGGTACTTCTTGCCGAATGCATTTCCCGAGTTAAGTCGGAGGGACCTGTCAGCGGAAAGGGCTGTTGATGAAAATAGCTGCTATGTGGGAGGCACTTATTTAATTAGCTTGAGATGGAGTTTCGCTTGTCGCCCAGGCTGGAGTACAATGGCACGATCTCGGCTCACTGCAACCTCTGCCTCCTGGGTTCAAACTATTCTCCTGCCTCAGCCTCCTGAATAGCTGGGATTATAGGCTCCTGCCACCGTGCCCAGCTAATTTTTGTATTTTTAGTAGAGACAAGGTTTCACCACATTAGCCAGGCTGGTCTCGATATGCTGACCTTATGTGATCCGTCTGCCTTGGCTTCCCAAAGTGCTGGGATGATAGGTGTGAGCCACTGCACCCAGCCAGGAGGCACTTATTACAGTGGCACTTATTACTGGCACTGAGTGCCTTACTTTTCTTGTCTCATTTAAACCTCACCATGACCCTAGCAGATGGGTATTATCATCTCCACTTAAGAGATGAAGTCGGCCGGGCGAGGTGGCTCACTCCTGTAATCCCAGCACTTTGGGAGGCCGAGGCGGGTAGATCACAAGGGCAGGAGTTCAAGACCAGCCTGGCCAACAGGGTGAAACCCCACCTTTATGAAAAAATACACAAAGAGTTAGCTGGGGGTGGCGGTGCATGGCTGTAATCCCAGCTACTTGGGAGGCTGAGGCGGGAGAATCACTTGAACCTGGGAGGCAGAGGTTGCAGTGAGCCAAGATTATGCCATTGCACTCCAGCCTGGGCGACAGAGTGAGACTGTCTAAAAAAAAAAAAAAAACGAAAAAGCAAAAAAACAAAAAAAATAACGAAGTCAGGCCAGGTGCAGTGGCTCACGTCTGTAATCCTAGCATTCTGGGAGGCCGATGGAAAGGAGGGTCTGGACAGGCACAACAGCTTCTCCTTTGTCTTTCTGCACCCTGGTCAGAAGGCAAATGAAAGACTGGAGGGTGCTTTGATACCAAACCTCCTGAGGTAGTTGGCAGCAATGTTTAAAGTCTAGACTTCATAAAACAGCCCTTCAAGATACAATGATAAATAACTTTAGCAACAAACATTTTATTGAGCACATGATATATGCCAAGTACTTTCTCTGATTTATTTTAAGAGATCCCTATCTCTTATGTCTCATTATGTTGCCCAGGTTGGAGTGCAGCTGCCATTCACAGGCATGATCATAGCACACTGCAGCCTTGACCTCCTGGGCTCCAGTGATCCTCCTGCCTCAGCCTCCTGAGTAGCTAGGTACTCATCACTGCACCTAGCTCCCAGCACTTTCTTTCCTTTCTTTCTCTCTCCCCCCTCTCCTTCTTTCTCTCCTCTCTGGTTTTTTTTTTTTTTTTTTTTTTTAGACAGAGATCTCACACCGTCACCTGGGCTGGAGCGCACAATGGCGCGATCTTGGCTCACTGCAACCTCTGCCTCCAAGGTTCAGGCGATTCTCCTGCCTCAGCCTCCTGAGTAGCTGGGATTACAGGCACGTGCCACCATGCCCGGCTAATTTTTTGTATTTTTGGTAGAGACGGGGTTTCACTATGTTGGTCAGGCTGGTCTTGGACTCCTGACCTCATGATCTGCCCACCTTGGCCTCCCAAAGTGCTGGGAATACAGGTGTGAGCCACTGTGCCCGGCCATCTCTTTTTTTGTTTGAGACAGGGTCTCACTCTGTTGCCCAGGCTGGAATGCAGAGGCATGATCTTAGCTCACCACAGCCTCGACCTCCTGGGCTCAAGCAGTCCTCCCACCTCAGCCTCCTGAGTAGCTGGGACCACAGGCATGTGTCAACATACTTGGCTAATTTTTGTATTTTTTGTAGAGATGGGGTTTCACCATGTTGCCCAGGCGAGTCTTGAACTCCTGAACTGAAGTAATATGCCCGCCTTGGCCTCCCAAACTGCTGGGATTACAGGTGTGAGACCATGAGCCACCGTGCCTGGCATCTGCGCACATTCGTCTTATTTTGAGACGGAGTCTCACTCTGTTGCCCAGGCTGGAGTGCAGTGACGTGATCTTGGCTCACTGCAACTTCCACTTCCCAGGTTCCAGCGATTCTCCCACCTCAGCCTCCCAAGTAGCTGGGATTACAGGCACCCACCACCACGCTTGGTTAATTTTTTTATATTTTTAGTACGGACGGGGTTTCACCATGTTGGCCAGGCTGGTCTCGAACTCCTAACCTCAAGTGATCTGCCTGTCTTGGCCTCCCTAAGTGCTGGGATTATAGGTGTGAGCCACCGCACCCAGCCTCCAAGCACATTCTTATGTTAATCCTCGCAATAACCATATGAGAAAGAAACTTTGAATCCCATTTTAGAGATGAGGATACTGGGTCACAGCCTGGTTAAACAACTTTCAACGAGGTCACAGATTTGGCAAACAGAATCTCAAGACAATTCCCGCACCTGTGCTCTCAGCCACTACGCTACACTGCCTTCCAGCAAATTCCCTTCTGTATTCTCTCTGAGCCGGCCTTTCCATCTCACAGGTGGAGGCTCCCAATGCCGATGAAGATCTGCTGGTACTGCTCCAGGACCAAGGGCCTCAGGGCCACCTGGGACCCTCAACGGTCAGAGAGCTCATGTCCTGGAGGGAAACCAGGCAGCACTCACATCCATTCTTAGGGTGCTGTCCTGGGAGCTCTGTCGCCAGCCTACTGAACAGCCACTCTGTTCCCCTAGGGACGGGTCAGGAGGGTTCGCTAGGAGAGCCCACCTCCTCCCGCATGGAACTCACTTATTGAAAATGGAGAAGTCAAAGTTCCAGCCCAGGCAGCGGATGACTCGGTCATAGGGCACGCGCATGGCAAAGTTGTCATTGTCGTCCTGGGGGAGGGTGATGGCGTCGGCACTCTGGTTGGTGCTGGCTTCTTCCAGGAAGAATTTCAGGGTGACATGGAACTTGCCTTTGCTATCCTTCAGGATGGCCAGATCCCTCAGGTCAGACTCGAGCAGCCCATCCAGGGACTTCAGCTGGTAGGTATCCAGCAGGCCATTGTTGATGGCTCTGGGCTCACAGAGAATGCAGGGAGAGAGGCTCAGAGGAAAGCTGGGCAGTGCAGCTGGGGTCAGGAAGGGCAGGGGAGGGTTGGGGAGGCTCTTTTCACACTCTGGACTCCCAGCACAGAACACACACGCAGGGATGTGGCCTACCTGAGGTCTCCAACGTAGTGGGTGGCCCAGGACAGACGGACCCGGGAGCGGCTGAGCATGTGGATAAAGTTTGTGACACCCAAGATGTTCTCTGCCGTCTCAAAGGCTGAGTTCCCACGGCCCAGGATCAGCACATTCTGGCCTATAAAGTCCTCAGGGTCTATGGACACAGACTCGTAACCCTCCACGTTTTCGGAGCCAGGGAAGTCAACCTGGTTGGGGACTGATAAGCCAGTGGCTACAAGGAGGACGCTGCAGGCAGGGACAAAGGAAAGATGGCTTAGTCTCTTAGCTATAAGATCACTAAGTGAAAACCACTCCCTGGACCCACGCACCCACCTGCCTCACTCTAACCACTGGCCGCTAAAAGAAAATAGGACATTCATTCATTCATTTGTTAATTCATTCGTTTACGCCCTCACTCCAGTGCACTTGAGAGGCTCTGCCCTTGCCTCTCCCTGAGCTCACAGTATTTTCCCTAGCACTGTACTGGGGGTTAATTTTGCTCTGTGAGAGAGGAGAAGATGACATTATGAGAAATGGAGAATTCACCTAAGTTTGCACACAACAGTTAGACCAGGTATCACCCTTGGTGATGAAAGGAAACCTGATGTTCT